ATATATATATATATATATATATATATACATTAATTTTTAAAAAGGAATTAATTTTATATATCGAAAATAGCACAAAACAAAAAAATACAAAAATATTAAAATAAAAATGCTTGCATACTTTTGAAGAGAGAGATTCTAATGTGCCAAAATAAATTTTCGAAGCAATACCGTACGAGGTGTGTCCCAAAAGTAATGAGAATGATTGAAAAAGAATTTCTTATTAATATTACATTCAATTACAATTAATCTCCTTCAAAATCTCCTTCAAAAGTTCCTTGTGATCGAATACAGCGATTTCAGCGTCGCTGCCACTCTTTATAGCAATGGAAAGTTTACTTAAGAAAGTTTATTTGTCATTCAAAGCTCTTGTCACTAAGCTGACTAAACATTTTAAACCATCTCAAAATGAAACTAGTCCAACATTTTATCTAAAGATACTCGCGTCGTATCTAAGATACGAGTGTTTGAGAAATAAATAGAAATTGTGCGCGTCCGTCGTGAAATTGCAAACACGTGGATCCTCCATGACAATGCACCAAGTTATACATGATTAACCGTGAAAAAATTTTTAGCTCAAAAAATATTCCAACGCTTCCTCACTCACCGTACTGCGACACTTAGCTCCGTGCGATTTCTTTTTATTTTCCAAGCTCAAAATCCCCCACCTCAAAAGACATCATTTCAAAACATCTAGTCAGCTGCGACGATGGCTTTGAACATCTCAAGTAAAGACTTCTTCCTTTGCTATGAAGAGTGACAACAATCTATCGCTAAAATCGTTATATTCGATCACAAAAAATTTATTTTATATTATGAAGGGGATTAATTGTAATTGAATGTATTATTAATAAAAAAAATTTTTTTCAATTATCCTCATTACTTTTGGGACACACTACTCGTACACTACTTATATAAGAAGTAACTAATCGAAACCTTCTATAAGCTATAAATTTAAATGATTATATGAAACTAACAAATTCTATGTATAAAATTGCTTAACATCATTCAAAAGTAAATTTGAATAAATAACTGAAGAATAATCTACATTCGTGTTGATGTATCATTTTCAGATGGTAAATTTCCTAAGTAGCGATATTACTAGATTAGAGACGTCTGTGATAGATTTGCACTATATTTGGATTGCCCCTATTCAAATCGTATGGATTACATACATTACATTTTTCGAAGTTGGATGGGCAGCTTTGATAGGAATGTCGGTGTTTTTGCTGTTTATCCCTTTTCAAGGTGTGAATTCCAATATTAAAGATTTGAACTCGTAACTGCGGCCATATTAAAATTTCTTACTATCGGAATCAGAAGATCGTACACGTTCTTTTTCTTGAACTTTCTTGGTATTCATTATTTTATAAACACTCTGCATTTTCGCATTTTTATTAATATATTAATAAGATTGCAAACGTTTAATAATATATTAATAAGATTGCAAACGTTTCTATGCGTAATTAATATCTTTTAAGAATTTAGGTTGCACTCAAAATCTTGATCATTTCTGTAAAATCATTTAAAGTCATTAATGCATGATTACAAAATTCAAAAAATGCATTTAATATGTTTCTGTAACAATATTTTATTAAATTAAAAAGAATATGTTGAAGGTGCAAATTTTGCAATATATCGAATGATATTATTTCAGCATTGTTGGCAAAAAAGATCGCACCTTTAATGCTTAAATTAGCAGAAAAAACAGACGATAGGCTTACACTGATGAATCAAGTAATCACTGGACTGCAAGTAATTAAAATGTATGTTTGGGAAATTCCTTTTTATAATCTCATAGAAAAGGCAAGAAAGTAAGTGTGTTATAATTTGATTTTAATCAACAAATCTTGTAATATTTTCGAACGTGGCTGCATTTTACTTTAAATTGTTGTATTTTAACTAAATTATTTCTAGGCGTGAGATGAGCGTAGTAAAAAGATACTCTATCTTAAAACAATTATGTCTTACCTTCGACTGCTACGTGCCGCGACTTTGTCTCTTCATCACGATATTGGCATATGTTCTATTCGGAAATTATATAAATGCTGAAAAAGTATACTTGATAACAGCGTATTATAATATTTTACGGAACTCGTTGATTTTTGGCTTTTCGATGGGTAAAACTAAAACTTAAATATTATACTTATTAAAAAATTCAATTTAATTGCACATTTGATAAATGATTTTCGATATTTGCTGAAATATTTTTTCAAACTAATTTGTTTAATCTATTATCGCATAATAAATTAAAAATAAAAAATCTTTAACTTTGTAAACTTGTTTTCATAGGCCTCCATCAACTGGTACAGGCATCAGTCTGCATTCGTCGTTTGCGAAGATTCATGTTGCACGCTGAAATTAGCAAAACAACTCATCAGAATCTACGCGAGCCAGTTCAGATAGATTCATTCGCACTTCGTATGACCAACGTAAATGCCAAGTGGCACAGCGACAGTAAAGACAATACGTTGCGTAATATAAATTTGACTCTGCTTCCTGGAAGCTTCGTGGCTATCGTCGGTCAAGTGGGTTCGGGTAAGAGCAGTCTGTTGCAAGCGATACTCCAGGAGTTACCGTTGATAAGTGGAAATATCGAGAGTCGCGGTAGAATAAACTACGTAAGCCAGCAACCGTGGATCTTTGCTTCATCCGTGAGGCAGAATATTCTCTTCGGACAAGCGATAGACAAGTCACGTTACGACCAAGTGATCAGAGTCTGCCAGATGGAATCGGACATAGACTCCTTTCCTCACGGTGATCGCACCATCGTGGGTGAAAAAGGAATGAATTTGAGCGGTGGTCAACGTGCGAGAATCAACCTGGCGCGAGCGATCTATAAAGACGCCGATATTTATCTGTTGGACGATCCTCTTTCTGCTGTAGACTCGCACGTTAGCAAACGTCTCGTCGACAGATGCATCTGCGACTATCTAAAGGTACGAGTTGCAGAGTTGTACAGCAAGATATTCATCTTTTGATCGAGATGAATAAGAAAATACTTTAATAACATTTTTTTAAACATTATTTGTTAAATTTTACGTAACCAAATTGTCAATTTTTTTCTAATTGCTTTACTTTTAATGAATGACATTAATTTATTTCTTTTGCTAACGGACGTTAGCGTTCAATTAAAACACGATCGTAATAGATAGTAGATAATAGATAATAGTAGCAAAAATATATTAGGTCTTTATATTAATTTATGTTGATTATTATACGTACTTTTTATTAATTAGTTAAAATAAAAACTTTATGTCTTTTATGTCTTTATATAATCTTTCTAAAATATAACTATTATTTTTTTTATAGAAAGGGTTGTGTAAATCTATTTAAATATATATATAAATTTAAGATAATTAGGACAACTTTTTGATTTAAGAGACTTTTAATTATTACAATAATCGCCATTTAGGGAAAAACGAGGATTCTCGTGACGCATCAACTGCAATATCTGCAAATCGCCGACCTGATTGTTGTAATGAGCAACGGTAGTATCGAGCAAACCGGTACTTTTGACCAATTACAAGCGTTAGGCCTCGATTTTATGAAGTTGGTGAAGGCGGCAGATGCAAAGTGCAAGGAAACTGAAAATAAACAATCCGAAATCCAGCGTCAAATTTCTATGAAAAACGAAGCCAAAAGTGATAGGAATACTTCGCCGGTTGAGACACAAGAAACCATGGCGAAGGGTCGCATATCTCGCGGAATGTTCTTCGCTTATTTTAAGGCGAGTAAGAAACCTGTCATGATCGCATTGATGATGTTGATCTTCCTAGCGAATCAGATGGTGTCCAGTGGTAGCGATTACTTTGTCGCGTTCTGGGTAAACATCGAATCGAATTCGTGGCACGAGATGGACAACACCACGATGGAATTTGTATGGGAGGGTCCATTATCTCGCGATTCTATGATCTATACATATAGCGCGATGATAGTGGCCATCATACTGCTATGGCAATTCCAAACAGTTGTATACTTCAATGTTTGTATGTGGTCTTCGGTAAATTTACATTCCGCTATGTTTCGAAGTATTTTACGTGCAACTATGTATTTCTATAGTGTTAATCCAGCTGGCCGCATATTAAATAGGTAAGTCCGACAGGATATTTAGTGCTACCTGTCAAAAGTTTGAGCACAACTATCTTCTATCTTTTCCGGTTAAATTAAAGATAAGGACACAAATAAATTTTTAAAAATATTTTATTCATATAACAAAAATATAAATTTTTTCCTTCCTATTAGATCAACGAGATATTTTTCAAAGTTTATTTGTTTTTATTTTTCATTGTTTGTGTGCTCAGATTTTTAATTGGTATACGTCATTTTTTTTCTTTTCAAGAAGCCTCGGAAACTAGATGAAAAAGATAAAAAGGTTCAAGAAAGGTATAATCATCCGGAACCATTTTTATTTTAATTAGGTTTGCCAGAGATATCAATATTGTCGATTTATTATTGTCAATGTGTATATTCGACATCATAGTAATTGGACTTATCTCAATCACGGTAGCAATTATGATCATAGCGGTTACTCCATGGTTGGCGATACCCACGCTGATTTGTGCCTGCATCTTCGCTTACCTTCGCACGATATACATTTGCACTAGTCGCAGTATTAAGCGCCTCGAAGGAACAAGTAAGCAAACTTGTAATAATAACATACTTATCATAGTCAACAAAATTTTAAATTATTCTTATTCTTATCAGTCTTATTTATCCACAATTTATGTATTACATATATGGATATTTTTTGAAAGATAAAATCAAATATATCAAAATATTTCACTTTCGCCTCTCCATCTCTAGATAAATTTATTTCAATTTATCGCTTATTGCTCAAATTAACTTTTTGTCTTTAATAGAATAAAATAAAGAAAATATTGTATATAATATGTATTATAATTATAATATAATATGTATTATAAGGTATTATAATTATATAATATGTATTATAAGAACAAAGAAAATAATAAAATGAAGAATACAATTTACTCAGCACGTTCACCAATCTTCGATCATCTCGGAGCATCTCTGCAAGGCCTGACGACAATCAGAGCCTTCAATGCCGAGAAAATATTAATGGCGGACTTATGCACTCATCAAGACCTCCATTCGTCCGCCTGCTTCCTCTTCCTGGGAACCTCTCGTGCCTTCGGCTTCTACATTGACGTAATCTGCCAGCTCTACATTGGAACGATCATTATAGCTTTCACGGTCTTCGATGGTCTAGCCGTCGTTGGTAACATCGGTCTGTCAATCACGCAGATTATGGCGCTTACAAACATGTTACAATGGGGAATCAGGCAGACGGCTGAGCTGGAGAGTCAATTGACTTCCATAGAGAGAATTATTGAGTACAGTCGTTTAGAAGAGGAACCGATGATCGACAGCAAGTCAGAGGCCAAGCCGCCAGACAACTGGCCGACCAAGGGCCTCGTAGAATTTAAGAACGTTAGTTTAAAATACAATAGCCAAGGCGCCTGCATCCTCAGCAACGTTAGCTTCGTCGTTATGCCGGAAGAGAAGATCGGTATTGTCGGCAGAACCGGCGCGGGGAAGTCGTCTCTGATCAACGCTCTCTTCCGTCTGGCCTGCGTGGAGGGTGAGGTCCTCATAGACGGTTTGCCCACCGGCGCGATCGCCCTACACGACTTCCGTTCGAAGATCAGCATTATCCCTCAGGAGCCGTTCCTGTTCACCGGCAGTCTGCGGCAGAATCTCGATCCTTTCGATCAGTACTCGGACGCCGCGCTGTGGCAGGCTCTCCAGGACGTCGAGCTGAAGGAGACAATCTCTGAAATGGCTGCAGGATTGAATACGAAGGTGTCTGACGAAGGGTCAAACTTTAGCGTCGGCCAGAAACAATTGTTGTGCCTCGCGCGCGCTATTATCAAGAATAATCGAATTATGGTGCTGGACGAAGCGACTGCCAACATCGATCCCTACACGGATTCCCTCATACAAAAGACAGTTAGAACGAAATTTATAAATTGTACTGTGTTTACCATAGCTCATAGATTAAATACTATTATGGACAGCGATAGAATATTTGTAATAGACGGTGGACATCTTGTGGTAAGTACAAGTACAACGGAACAATTAAAAAGAAATAAAAACATTTTATAAAATAATAAATGTTGATTTTAGGAATTTGATCACCCATATATCCTTTTACGACAAAAAGGATATTTCTATAATATCGTACAGCAGACTGGTACTGCAATGGCCAAAAATCTTATTGATATAGCCTCAAAAGTAAGTACTAAATCAAATTTAATAAAAGTCAAATTAGTTATAAAGTTATAATATTTATCATAAAACAATAGACTAGCTATAATTAAATTTTATTTTATTTTGTTGTTTGTTACTATATTTTCCAAAAATTTATTAAACCATTTAGTATTGTTATAAACATTGCTATTAACAAGTTATTTGTGATTTTTTTTTACAGAATTTCTATAAAAAGGATAGGTCGCCTTCTAGATAATTTTCAATGCGATTGTGCGATATGCCAAAGTATTAGCACAGTATTAAGCTTTGTGTAATTTAATAATAATACATATATAATCTGTTATGTAATATACACATTTTATATTAGGTATTTCTAAAAAATATTTCTCTGTCACTTTCTCTTGTAATTTACACAAATTCCGTCTTTTATATGGTATTTATATTGCATTTTCAAATGTTACGTTCAGCTCCCAAAAGATTTAAGAAAAGAAATTTTAGGAAAAAAAAAAAAGTCCACTGGACGTAACACAAATATAACAGGATTTTTTAAGATTTATGAACAAAAAACTACATAATTGAAAATAAAGTATAAAAATAAAATTTTGTAAAATTTAATCACAAAATTTTATCACGATAAAGGACAACAATGTATTTGGAACTTTATTTATTGTTACACACAAATAATTTTATTGATGTATATTCTTTACGTTTATACAGTCAATAATATATTCATTTCTATTCCTAATATAATACCCCAAAAGTCATACATAATTGTACGTATTTAATTGTACAAAATATTCGATGACAATGATTTGCCAACTAGTATATGTTGCTCGAGTAGTTAAATAACATTATATATACACACACACACACACACATATATATATATATATATATATAGAGCCGAAATTACTAATTGTTATGTTGTAGATAATATTTTTGAATATCAATTTTTATGTATTATATAATGATCAATTTTATTATGCAATGCGCAATAAATTTTGATTCTATTTTCAAAGAAACTATAAAATAAAAATTGAAAGATGTCTTCTCCTTTAATAAATTCATCATTCTAAATATAAAGACAATAGTTGTACATTGTAAAATCGCATTCCAAATATAATCGTATCGGATAAATTTTAGTAAACAGGCATAATATACACCTATATGCATGAAAATTCGTTGTAAAAATCTGATCTTTTGTATAATATAAAAGATGATATCAATTATGTATAGAGCTGTGCAATACATGTTATTTTTTTATTAATAATAAAAAAATTATTGGACGTCATGATTTTTGATTCCTTAATTTTTGATCTATTTATTGATTACTCTCTTTTCTTCTCGTTCTAAAATATATTTAAATTTGCAATTAATCAAAAAATAGTTTCAAAATAATAAAATAATATTTTTTATTTATCATCATTTCTAAAACAATTCATAAACAGTCTCTTATTTCAATCATTCATAATTAAGTAGTTTATAATCCAAGATTTTATCTTAAATCTAAAAATTTGATCTTAAAAGTTAGTTTCATAAAAAAAAAAACGAATTTTTATAAAATTGAATTTCGTTGTAAGGTATTCATATTTTTAATGTGTTTTAACATTGTGTTTAAGTAATACTGGCGATTGTTTCATGATAAAACTCTCTTATTTATCTAATTTTATAACAAACGCTTCCCCAGGTGGAACGCTAAGTTCTTTGAAGTACACGTCTCGATTCATTCTGTATCTTGGTCCAACAACAACATAACCGCTATAATAAAGAGACGATAAATCCTTTATGCGCGTTTGATTGCCAAAATTGGCTACAAACACATAGGAATTTCGCCGCGGGTACCACCGCTCAATTACGATCATTTCATCTTCCACGTACCTAAACATAGAATATCAATAAATCAAAATGTTAAATGTATAATATGTAACATTTTGCACCAGTTTTATGCCACAAGACGAAAAATAATAAAAATAGTAAAGTAAAGTAATAGTAAAGTAACGACTTATTTAAAATCTAAAAATGCTTAGCCAATAAAAATGCTTAGCCATTCTAATATAGAATAAAAATATATCTAATTGCATGCACAATTAATCAATTTTCCAAATTGATTAAAATTAAAAAAAAAATGAAATGTATCAAAGAAGAAATTTATTTTTTTCTATTCTAAGGAAAATCCCAAGCCGAAAACTTGTATAATTAAAGAGTTTTACCTAACATCACAGTTCACAATAATTTGATTTTCTCTTAATACCGCATTAACATAAACCGGTGGCGCTTCCATCCTTAATTTTATCATTTCCTTAACAGTATTTTTTAAACTAGTTTCTACAGGCTTCCCAGCTTCTGGTAACCAAGTGGTGATTCCTAAAGACGAAAAACTGGTACCAGAGCCGTCCTTCTTTTCCCAATACATTGGGACTAAATTGTGCACATGCGCTAAATCTTTGTGATCCTGGCAGTCACAGTCTTCAATACCTATCTGAAATGAAAATCCAGTTAAAAAATTATTATAAAATAAAAAATACTAAAATTACTAAAAATTACTAGATATATAACTCGATTAAATTTTTTCCAAAGTGTTTTTTAATTGCATGTCTGATGAACAAATTTAAAACTAGAAAAAAAAGGAATATAGTGTAAATCCATTCTTGGATCGGAGATGAATCTTAATTATGACGTAATTAATACCTCATCTCCGTAGAATATATTGGGTGAGCCGGGCAGCATCATGCCGAGAAGAGAAGCCGCTATGCTGGCATTCTTGACAGTCATGGTGGAAGCCACTCTGTTGGTGTCCACACCACCTACGGACCAGTGTATCCACGGATAAGCGGATTTGTCGAAGAATACACCCTTGGTGATACTCTCTATCTGCGTCTTGATGTTCCTCGTGCTCTTCGTTAGATCCAAATTCACATCGATCAGATCTATCCTAGACATGATGGAGTTTCTCACGGGGACGGAGGTGGCGGCATTCAAAGTCCCCACGTGACAAATAAAGATACTGCCTGGACGTAGAAGAAACCTCCAATACCTAAGATCACTCACGAAAGTATCCTCGTTAACGTAATGCTCCAGACCCTTTAGATAGAAACCATCCACTCCTCTCTGCTGCCATATCTTAATGGCCTCACTGATCGGGTGCTCCTGTTGACGATTCGAATGATTGGATGGAAATGTTTGTCTCTTTTTTATCTCCTGCGGCGAAGATGGCGGTACAAACGATAGAGCGTTGCGAATGACTTCGATCGACGTAGACGGTGCGGACGGAAGTACTGCGTCAGAAGTTATGGCATTGTTCACGAGATCACGTCTCTCTCGAAGCTCGGTCTCATTTGCCTTCGCTGTCGCATCGCTCGAGCTCTTCACGAATGGATACAGGGGCAAATCGAGAACTATACTCATATTTCGTCTGTGTATCTCGCGCACGAGAATAGAGAAATCCTCGAGTGTGCCCAACTCTCTATTCACATCCGTCATGTTGCTAATATCCGAGTAATATTCCGGATAATGCGGTGCTGGGAATATCGAGTTAAGTCGAATGACTCGCACTCCAAGATCCTTCAGATAATCGAGTCGCATTATTATCCCGCGCAAATCGCCGATCCCATCGGCACCCTTCGTGGAGTCCTGAAAGGAGGCCGGGAATATTTCGTAGAAGGTGCTGCCTTGCCACCATTCCACCGGTGGATCGCATCTAATATATAAACAATTCAATACACGCACATATAACAATTTCTTATCCTCGAGAGACATATTAATATGGAAAATAATCATATTTATATTAGAAATATTATTTTATTATCTTGTCTATAATAAATTGTTATTTGATTTGAAATTTTTATTTATATTATATTAAAAAAATTTTAATATTCAGTTTTTTATAGCATTAGGCGAGGCTTTTATCGTATGATAGAAAAATTGCATAAAAAATTACAAAAATTTTTAAATATCAAACAAAATATTTTATTTTTGTTTGTTTATTTGCAATTATTCTTTTGTGTCGAAATTATCGGAAAGCCCCTGGATATGTGAATCAAAATTGCTTCTTCAATCTTTATCATTTTCACGCTTATTCATATATGTAAATGTATATAAAATACATATACTTCTAATGTACACATACGTCTTAGGCATTGTGGCGATAACACCGATAACAAGAGCGGCGCATCCGGTCAAGATCGACATTAATGACCAGTAGCATGTCTTCCGAATTAACGGCCAGTTCCACTTCATAAAGCGATAATCCTTAGGCGGTTTTGGCACCACCAGTTGAATCCCAACGAGCGGTGGCTTGCCACCGTTCTCCTGGTTGTAAAACTAAACAGTTACAGCATAAGTACGTATGACGTTTGTTAGAAAGCAGCAAGCGATGAATTAGTTAACATGAAGTCATTGAAGATCGGGAATACTATCCCGCGTTTTTCGAATTAATTTAGCACATTTATATAAATGTAAATTGAGAAAAGAGGAGCAAGGAACATTCACGAAATTTTGTCCAATACTCACTCCTGTATCTTTTCTCGTGCTCTAATACACGACGCGACACAAAGTATTGCGATATTGACTAAATCCGAGAATCATTTCAATTCTACAGGACTGATTTTTTTTAAGACATTCTCTTAAAAGACATTCTCAAATTTTCGTAAGCTTCTTTAAATTCAGTCTAATGTGTTATGTATGAAATCACGATTAAGAAATTGATCAGGTTCACCAAATAGTGCTTTGTTTAACTTTATGACTTAAAATATCTCAACAATTAAAATTAAACATCCAATCTTATATATTAATTTTATATATTAATATATAATATAATATATAATATAATTATAATTATTTATTATAGTTCAATATATTGATTTAGATTATTAATATCTAAACTTCACAATTGTAGACTAAATATATATAAAGTATTTTTTCTTTAATTTTCTTTCAATTTATTATTAATAGACAAGTAAAAGTTAATGTTTCAGTTTTTCTCATATTGCATTTTTTTAGTTGTTAACTTAATTTCACACGATCACTCTAGTCATGCTTTATTTGTACTATGTGTATACAAGCAATTGAGATGACAGTTCGATGTTCCAAGTAATGACTTAACTGGATATAAAAAAACATGTTGTGAACGTGAACACAATCACCATAACGTAAATGCAATTTCAAAGCGGCATCTTTCGTGTACGCGTGATACATTTAGCAAAATATCCTTCATCTGCCCCAAGCAAACATACGTAATGTACGAAACAGCATAGATGCCCTTTGCTTCTGCAAGTGGCAAAGACGGAATTTGCGAATCTCATAATGATAAAGAACATTAAGCACAATAGGCATATACATACAAGTAATGCTAGGCATAAGAATGCATTAAATTATATATCATTTAAAATATACCATTGGAATATTAAAAAATGTTGAATCAATCCTAATATTTTTTTATTCAGAATCATTAAAAATCTTGACTGAAAATGTTGACTATTTTAATTCTGTATTTTTATTTTATGCCTAGACATAGATTATAATTTTATTTTATTTTCTTTCAAATCTCCATATTCTTTAAAGTTAAAAATATATAATATATAATAACATCTATACTAACATCTATACTAACATCTATATCTAATAACATCTATATAATAACATCTATAATATATAATAACATCTATACTCCATTTCAAATACAATAAAAAATAAAAAAAGTAATATTGTAATCTAATTCTCAAATAATGATATGTATTTTTTATTATTCTCATTATTCCTTATGTAGTATTAAAGATTGCCATCTTATTTAATGTTATTAAATTATCTTGGTGCCGATTCTATTTTTTACGGTTTGAAAAATCTGAAAGAATGTGAAGGCTCATTGTAACACTTACTAAAGCTTGAGCATCTGGTGCGAGATGCTGATAGGCAGTATT